GCTGCTGGTCCTGAATCCCATCTCTAAAACAGCCGCCAACTTCAAGTACTAGCAGCGTGGCGCCTGCTTCAAGCCGTAGATGGATTTTTTCAGCTTGCACACCCTGCCCGTACCATCCTCATACCCAGGTGGCTGGGTCATGAACACATCCTCCTATAAAATCCCACTGTGGAAAGCCGTTGATACTTCCCACTAACGGCTGCATTTGCCAACAAGACACGGAGGGTAGGGGGTTTGGCAGTGGGAGCAAAGATCTCATTGAAGTCCTGCTTCTCCTTCTGCATAAACCCTTTAGCTACCAGCCTACTCTTGTAGATGGTGACCTGTCCCTTGTTATCGGTCTTGATCCTTAGCACCCACTTGCACTGTACGGCTTTCTTCCCCTCAGGAAGCACCACCAGATTCCATGTCCCATTCTCTAGCAGGCTCTGGTACTCAGCATCCCTAGAAACCAGCCACTTCTCCCTATCTAGTCCAGCTAACGCCTCCTCCATGCTAGCTGGTTAGTCTGGTGCAGGGGCATGAAAACAGTAGGCAGGTTCATCCTCCTCATCCGGGTCGTAGCCATGAGGAAGAATCAGCATTGCCTCCTCGGTCCCAAGCTGCTGCATTTATGAGTAAGTAACGCATTTACTCTTAGTACCATCCATTAGGGTTAGTAACGCACTTACTCTTATCCAACCATACAGATAAATAACGTACTTACTCTTAGTAACATTCATATGAGAAGAGTAGCGCACACACGCTTAGTACGAAGCATATGGTAAGTAACTCAATTACTATTAGATAGGGTAGGCACTTACTCTTCGTATTATCCGTATGGATAACTAACTCAGTTACGTTTAGTAATGATCATATGGGTAAGTAACGCACTTAGTTTTTGTACCATCAATAATAATAGGCATCGCACTTACGCTTAGTTTCAATCATATGATTAAGTAACGCACTAATTCCTAGTACCGATCATATGGGTACGTAACACACTTACGTTTAGTACCAACCATATGGGTAAGTTACGCGCTTACGCTGTCACATTTGCATGAATGTGAAGGAAGGAGATGCGGTATTATGGGGGATGTACATAATGTAAGTACTGTAAATAGTGTGTCGAGAGAATATGGAGGTGGATGGCGAAAGGTTAAGCGACGGTTCAACGAGGTGAGAATTACAAGGCGGAATGACGTCTGCCGAAGCGAAGGGTGGGGGAGTTGCATGGAGAGCAATTGGGGCGGCTCTTACGTAAGCAAAGGTCGGCAGCAGAGGAGAATTACAGCGCTTGGCAGCAGCACGGGAAGAGAAGGTTCGCCATCAGCACTTGGATGGGTGTTCGTATGCATGTATGATTGTTTCCATGTATGGGCAGGATTGCCCCAACGAGCCAGCTAGAACAATACAGTACTAGCTAAAGGCACAGTAGCCAGAGGCGGGGAAGGGTGGCAAGAGGCACTCTGGATGCAAGTCTGCTTATAGGTAGCTATGGCTACCTAGCGTACAGACTAGGGTACGAGGGGATATGAGCAGGAGGAGGCAGAGCTGGTAGAATAGGTGGATTCCTGTTGAGCAAGCCTCATTGCATGTATGCTTCCTTTCAACACAATTTTCTTGCTGTAAAACGAGGAAGTAGTGATTCTAGGGAGATATGACAAGTTAAGAACGAAATAGGAGATGTGTGAGGCTATGTGACGGAGCTTAAAGCTCTTTACATACAAGGGATCATATCGGAGGGAATGCCCATGAGATCCGGAGTAGACTACGCAGCAAAGGAAGTATCAGAGGAAACATGAACGACGGAGGGCAACGAGAAAAGCGGCAAAAGCCAGGGAACAGATACAAACGTGCAAGGCGCGGATAGACTGGAGGCCGAGAATCAAGTGGGAGCCACGGGCTCGAATGAGGAGTGTGATCCGGCGCATAAATTGGAGAAGGAAGCAACGAAGGACGGTGCGGCACGGCCCACGTCGGAGGAAGGAGTAGCAGCCAGCGGAGCCAGGAACCCGGGCGAGCGTGCCTATCAGCGGAGCGCGTCCTGACAAGGCTCGGAAGAGGAGGCGACGTTACTGCAATGGGGTTACACGATGCTCCCAAAGGTGGAGGCCCCGGAAAGATTCTCTGGAGAAACGCGCCGTGGACCCTCTCTGAAGAACTACCTGATACAGCTAGAAAATCTGAGGTCGAGGTGGGAAAAAGATCGCCTCGTAGCGGACGAGTTTTTCCGCGGACTAGTGAACACCCTGACGGGAGAAGCTGAAACCTACTACTGCATCTGCAGGAGGGGGAGCTGCTGGAATGGGCGGCCAAAGGAAGGCCAGGGAACGGGATCCAACGGCATGGTTCGTAGACATGCTTAGGGAGCAGTTCCCGCTACAAAAACCCGAACGCGTCGTGGAATTCCGGGAGTTCAGGAGGAGGATAGGGGAATCACTCCTGGCAAACTATGAGTGCCTCATCGAGCTCGAGGAAGACATGAGCTGTTTTGATCAAGGCCGACTCGTAAGCAAATTCCCAAACGGAATGAACTATGAGCTGCAGCATGATGTGCAGGTGAAGATCTTCGATATGGGCGCGAACGCGACATTGAAGGAAGCTTACGAGACAGCAAAGCGAATGGAGACGGGGAAGAGGTTGTTCGAGGTGGAGCGCACGGGAGAACGAGCAGTAGAACGCCGGAGGCCAGCCCGGAGTGCGGCGCCAGTGAACAGAGACCAACCGCCGAGGGGACCTGCGGATGCGCGGAAGTGTCACAACTGTGGCAAGACGGGGCATCTAAGCCGCAACTGTCGTAATCCCTCAGTGTGCTCAATCTGGGGCGAGAAGGATCACCTGAGGCGCGACTGCCCAGAGGCTCCGATATGCGGCAAATGTGGCCGAAGAGGGCACCTGGAGTAGGACTGCTATTTGCAAAGGGGAGAAAACCGGGAGAGAAACAAGGTACCCAAGGTGCATGCCGAGATCGTGAGGCTAAGGTTGCAGCTGGAAGGGCGTGAAGCGGGGAGCGAAAGGAAGCCGGCCATGGTGGCGAAGGAGGAGGAGGAAGAAAGCAGTGGAGAAGGGTTCTGCCTGATGGTGAGACCGGCGCGGGACAGGGAAGAGCTGGGTCTGTGGCCGAAAAAGAGGTTTATGAGGAAGGGGATTGAAGAAAGGTGGGAGCAAGGACCGAGGAGAAGGGCGGAAGAGGAAGAATATCAGCAGCCGTTGCGTTGCCACCCACTGGAGCGACTAAGCTGCGCCGCATCAGTCCTGGTGGTAGAAAAAGGGTACATCACGGTGGGAGGCATATCGGTGAAGCAGGCAATCATAGATACGGGGGCTCATCCCGTGCTCATTGGAAGGAGGCTCGCGGAGCAGCTGCAGCTGCACAAGCCAGAGCGATGGATAGAAGAGGGACTGCTCCTGATGACAGCGAAGGCGGAACCAAATGGATGCCAAAGTCGAGGAGCACGGTGGAGATCATGCTGCAGAAGGGGAGCCCAGAGGAGTGTTCGGTGAAGCTGCAATGTGGAATATCTCAGTCAGAAGACTATGACCTACTGCTGCGAGTGGAATTCCTGTACAGAATCGGCGCGACCATCTGCATGTGGAAAGAGAAACTCACGTACTGAGTGATTTACTGAGAGAAGAACCGCTCGCTGGCGGAGCTGCCCGTGAGATTCATTCGCAGAGAGCCGCGTGAGGCGTATCAAGCGGCGATCAAGACTGTGGAGGATGAGTTGGGCATACTGAGTTAGGAGAAGGTGGAAGAGGAAAGAAGGCACCGTGACTGGCACCAGCAGCAATGGGGCGAGAGCGGGCGACTAAAGGAGCTACATCTGGACGGCAGGGTGTTCCAGAAACCGATAGTGTTGCTGGAGCTGTTCGGGGGCATTAGCAAGGGGCTGACGGCAGTGCTGAAAGGAGGTCTCAAGGTGGAGAAATACATCTATGTGGAGAATGACAAGGCGGTGAGTCTAGGCATGGCACCACATAAAAAAGCTACAGGAGAGGTACCCATCCCAGGTGTATCAGGGTGCGGTGGACAAGGGAGCGGAGTGGACCTGTAACAGGGTGGAAGACGTGAAGGAAGAGGCGCTGGCCCACTGGGGGCACATAGACTTGGTGGTCGCAGGATGGGAATGCCAAGGAATGTCACTGGCTGGGGAAGGCAAGAGGATGGAGGATCCCAGGAACAGGCTGTTTCGGGAACTCATGCGCATTGTGAAAATGATCAAGCGCAAGCAGGGGGAGGTGGCCTACATACTGGAGAACGTGGACACCAGAGACGGCACGAGGGAGGCGGTGAAGCGTGCGGAGGAAGAGATCGGAGGGGAGCTGGGGGCAGGAGTGGCCTGGGATGCCGCACAGAACGGCAGCCGAACACATCGCATGCGCAGGTATTGGCAAAATGTGGTGCCGGAAGCGGCGCTGCAGTACGAGCTGTCAATGATGGAGTGGCCACGACCCCGTCTAATGCTAGACATACTGGAGTAGGCTTGGGCATTGACCCGACCCGACCCGACCCGACCCGTTTGGGGGTACCCAAGGGTGCAATCGGGTCGGGTCGGGTATACCCGACCTCGGGTTTGATGGGTCAGATTGGGTACCCGACCCGTTTAGAAACCCTCGGGTAGTAACTACCCGCGGTCGGGTAGGGTTTACCCGTGGACGGGTCGGGTATACCCGTTATGCATGTAAATCCAATATACATTATGACGAATTTTGTTGCTGTTTTTGGGCCTATATAATATTAGCTTGCAGTTTTCTGTGAAATGGATGAAGTGTCACATCTTTCATTGCAAACTCGTGCGCTACCACGAATGCATTAACACAATGTTCGTTGTACTAGAGTTGCAGTATCCTATCGCTGTCACATGCTAGCATAAATTATTGTATGTCGTCACAATAAATATGTTCAAGTTCAACCACCTACAACGTGTGGTCTATGGCATCCTCTACAGTCAGAATAGCCACACCCACACCCCAGGGTACACAGCAATATCGTGCCCACAGTCACAACCAGCCACAAGTCAGAACCCATCACCCTCACCCTCATAACAAAGGTCATCGAGCACCCGAGCGGCACCTGCAATGTTGAGGCTCCTGCCGCTAGTGTTCTGCTCCATCCATGACTTAATTGCCATGACGGCGCGTACGCGGCCAGCAGTAAGGCGGTGGCGCTGCCATGTAATAATGTTCCTCCCCTGACTAAAGGCTCGCTCGCTAGCAGCAGAAGTAGCGGGCACAGCCAAATAGTCACGCGCCATCTCTCTCAAAACTGTGAAATCCTCCCTCGCCCGCCAGAAAGCCAGCGGACAACCACCTCTCTGCCTCGGCTCGGCCAAATAGCGGTCCACCTCATCCTGTGCCCCCCCTCCAGCAGCTGCCTCCAGGGCATCCATCTCGTCAAAGATGGAGTGCTCAAAGCCCCCTCCCCCACCTCCACCAGCCCCCGTCGTGCCCGAGGCCCCACCAGTCACGCTGCTAGGCCCAGTGGCCCCCCCGGTATCACTCGTGACCTCACCACCCTGCCGGCGGCTGCTCACCCGCGCCTGATACTCGGCCATACGCGCACGCACCAGCCGTATCACCGTCCCTTCATCCACATCCTGCACCCTCCTAGCACACCCCCCCACCTCTGTCACGTGCGCAGCATTGCGCGCCTCCCATTTCGGCAGCTGGAAGAAGACTGTCTTGTAGCGGGGGTCCAGGAAGGTGGCAACCACCAGCTCTTCCTTCTCCCCGTACTTGTACTTCTTCAGCTTGTCAAGAGCTGCAGTGATGAGAGCCTGTCGGAGGGGAGTGACACCCTCTTTGCAGAAGGAGATTTCCAGCTTGTCCAGCAGCTGGTTGTACAGCGGCACGACCGAGGCAGCCGTGGGGTACAAGGAACCCTCGGCTGCCTTCGTGATGGTCATTCTAGTCAAACAATCATAGTCGAAAACGTTATCCAGCCTTTCAACACACAAACAACACCCTTCACTATTGTCACAACACACTCTCCACCAAACCAGCCCCCCACCATGCCCTTTCACCACGATCACGACATCAAAACACCAGACCAGCCCATTGCTGCAGTCACTCCACGCTCAGTACCACCACCACTCACGTCTGTCCTCATGAGGAGCAAGGCCAGTGCCTGCTGCAGCTCCAACGCACGGACGATCATGTCATACGTGGACCCCCATCGTGTCGGCGAGTCGCCAATCAGACGAAGCACGGGTGCATCATCCCGCCGCAGCAGGATGCGCTGCTGCCGTGCGAAGTTCTCCGAGCGCTGGACTGACCACCCGACGTACGAACACACAGCTCGCAGACGCTTCAGCGCCTCTGTCACCACATCTTTCTTCAATGCCGCCTGCACTGCAATGTTCATGACATGTGCAATGCAGCTGTGCAAACATGGCAGACAAGCATAGGGTAGAGGGAAGGTCGAAAATGACACGGTTGTAGTCGAAGGGAGTCATATGGTACTGCGGCACATGCTGCCCGGCTCTGATACACTCAGAGTTAGGTGTCGAATGACTTACCGCACGTGACGATCTCCGTGGAACAAGGGGAACTCAATCCTCGCCATCGCGCCCTCAGCTGGATCCCCTGCAAGCATGCGCATGGCCTTGTTGTTGTTCTCAGCATTATCCGTCGTGACGGCGAACAGCATCTCGGTCAGTCCCCATTCCGCCAGAATGCCCTCAAGAGTCTTCGCTATCAGCGACGCGGTGTGTGACCCCTCTAGCTGCACGAAATCCAGGATGTGCTGCCGCAGCTGGAAGTCTTTAGTGATCCTGTGCACGGTGACAACCCTGAAAGCAACATTGTTTCTCACTGGTCCAGATGTCCGTACTCAGCGACAGCCGCCCAGCGAGACCATCACCAATCAGCTCCTGCTTCAACTCCTCCCTGGCAGCATCTGCGTATGCCTGCATGTCTCGTGCCAGCCGATACCGCGTCCCTAGCAACCGCTCGGCCCCAGGGTTCAGCAGTTTGACGAATCGACGGAACTGTTGGGGGATGGAATAGACAACGACGAAGCACCACTATGAAGCGTGAATGACACGCAGTTCAAGGATGGTCTACGAGTGGAGAGCAAGGTATATCTCGAGGAATGGATACGCAACATGCATCTAGTGTCAATGATATGCACAATGCGATGCTGTAGCCGAACAATAACAAAGACTCACTGATGGCCGATCGACAAGGCGGAATGGCAGATCGGCGTCGGCGAACATCTCCACCAGGGCAGAGCGCAGCTCCTGCTCCTGCACCCGGGGAGTGATGTATGAGGACATGCTGGCAGCACAAATCCCACCACTCGTGCCCCCCCCCCACCCCCTCCGCGGCCGTGGCTGGGATGTTAGGCCAACTTGCCGCGTGTTCCCACACTCCATCCCCATCGGGCACGACAGGGCCCTTCCCATCCATCCCGTAACCCCCAAGAGGGAACTGCAGATCCTTTGGCTTCTCAGGATCCAAAAACCGACGAACCCAAATCTGCACGTTAGGGTAGTGTTTCCGCTTCACGTGCCTCCACCCTGCGCTAGTGTTACCCCGACCTCCAAGCAAGCAAGTCCCCACATTTACGAGATGCACGGCAATCATCGACCATATCGCCAAACATTCCCACAAGTAACCCCGGGTAGGATTTACCAGCCAACTCCTCGACAACCGGATCCGTAGGCGTCACATCCCTTTGACGCTTCGTCCTACGCTGCCTTCCACCCGACGTCGCGCCGCCACGACTGGTGCCACCAGCTCGCAACGGCGTGCCCCCAACCCCCTCGTTGCGCTGCGTGTCAGCACGTGACGGGCCGTCCTCTACTGGGGCTGAACCCTCCGCTCTAGCGTCGCCACCCCCCTGCGCCACACGACCAACCCTCCCACCTCCTCGTCCACCTCTTGAGGTACCGCCGGCGCGCCTCCCACCGTGAACTTCGGTTGCTCCTTCGCTCGAACGACCCTGCACGCGGCCAGCCCGTCCCCTTGCCTGGCCTCGTCCCCGTGCACTCCTTCCTCCGCGTCCTACACTAGTTTCCCCGACCCCCTCCTCATCCACCTCCACCTCCACCTCCACCTCGTTCTCGCCCGCCGAATCCGCTGCTGCAGCTGCCACCTCCTCTTCTGTAGGCACGTATGCATCCTCTACGTCCTTTTCAACGGGCGGTTGCCCCTCAACCCACGGCTGAAGGGGAATATTTACCCACCCAGAGCCGTTCCCCCCAGATTCCGCCGCCGCATCCGCCCCTCCTGACTCTATGGCCGCCTGCGTAGCACTGCGGACCATGACGCCACGGGCGCGCGTTGAAGTGTGCGCTACGGAGCGTGGTAGTGAGGCCGCTAGCGCCTCGCCGATGCTCTTTTAGTATCACTCTAATGCGTGCAGTGGAACAAGCCTAACTGAAACCCCGCGATCAATGCAGTAAAAGATGCTGGAAACTAGGGGGTGACGTGGGGTGGCGAGAAGTGGCCAATCAAACACTTTGATGGCGCTCTTAGGTTAAGTACGTATATTCCTAGCCGTAAAAGCCATTGTATACGTTTTTTAAAACGTTCTGAAAAGCTATTACCAAAGTCTTACAACAATAGTAGGCACTAAGCTTGTGACTTTGCACCTGTAGTTGCTTTGCTGCTAAGTCGTGAAGGGCTATGTGCTGGGAAAAACCTAACGAGGTACGTGACGAGGAGGAGGAGGTGGTGCCTTGGTTGTTTCTTCTTGGCTTGGATTGGTTGGATGGTTGGAGTTTTGATTGGATGGATGGATAGGATCTGTTCTGTGGTGTATTTTGGTTGGAACCATGTCGACTTTTACGGCTTATAACTCTGTGCACGGCGCTTCGGGTAGTGTAACCCGAGCTACAAACGGGTAAATGGCCCGACTTCGGGTCGGGTATACCCGACCCGTCGGGTAACGTAAACCCGACCCTAATTACACGGGTCGGATAGCGGGTATTCAAAACCTGACACGGGTAGACCCTACCCGACCCGACCGGGTAGTCCTCAGCAAGATAAAGATCCGACCCGCCAAAAAGGTCGGGTCGAGTCGGGCTACCCGACCCGAGTCGGGTCAATGCCCAAGCCTATACTGGAGCATGCGAGGCTGCTTGTGCCCGTGAAACACCCTGACTACGAGACACAGTATCAATGCAATAAGGTGGGAGAGCCAAGGCAAGCTTGGCCCACCCTGGTAGCGTACGACCTGGCGAGGGGATTTAGGATGGACGAGGGCGTTGAGGGGCCAGGGATGGTGTTTGACAGGCTGAAAGGGGTGTGGGAGGAGCCAACGGCACTGGAAAGAGAATTAGCCATGGGATTTACGGCAGGAGCAACCGCGAATGGGAAGGTGACGGAGCGGCAGCGCAGAGAGCCCTAGGCAATGTTATAGACTTGAATGCTCTGCGCTGGTTGATCGGCACCATGCACGGTACCTGGAGAGGAATCGCTAGAGAGGAGGAGGGACCATGCGGCCAGGGCGGAGTTGGAATTGGAGGAGAAGTGTGTGACGAGCTAGATGCGCCTGCCGTTAACCAGTGAATTGCCGGTGTACACAAGACGTGGCAATTTGTATGGAGAAGTGTCGAGAGCTATTGGCAGCATGGCTGATCCGGAAGTCGGAATCAGGCTACGTTGCCGCAACAGTGGTGGTAGCAAGGATGGACTTGATAGGTGTGGTGCTGTCGCGGAGGATGTGTGGGGACTATAGGGAACTGAAGAAAGTCACAGCCACCAACCGATACCCGATGCCCATGGCGGAAGAGATCTTCGACCAGCTACAGTGTTCTCCACACTCGACTTACGTCAAGGTTTCAACCAGATACCGATAGCGGAGGAAGACAAAAAAAATACGGCCTTCCACGGGCCGGACAGACTATACGAATAGAACTTCATGCCATTCGGTCTCAGGAATGCATCAGCGGTATTCCAGAGGGTGATGGATGCGATGCTCAGGGAAGTGAAGGAAGCGGCTTGCTACATAGATGATGTAATCATTTTCAGTGCGGACATTGTGACTCTATATGGAAGCGACACTAGCGGCCATACGAGCGGCACGATTGACCTGCCACCCAGGGAAGTGCTGATTCGACCACAGCAGCATGGCATACCTAAGGTTTGATGTGGCAGGGGGAGAGTTGGGCATACAAAAGGCGAAGGTGGAAGTGCTGGACAGCGTGGAGCGACCGAAGGATATGAGCGGCTTGAGGGCACTGCTGGGGTTTTTCAACTACTACAGGAAGTTAATTGCAGATTTCAGTAAGCAAGCTGTGCCGTTGAACAAGCTGCTAAGAGAGGTGCAGAAGCGGCAATGGGGAGAGGCGTAGGAACAGGCACTAAGGCGGCTGATGGAGGCGGTAAAATCGGGGGCTGTGCTGAATCTACCTGACGAGAAGGCTCCATTCGTGCTTTACATGGATTGGAGCAGTGTGGGAATGGGGGCAATGCTGAGTCAGATGGAAGGAGGGCAGGAAAAGGTGGTGGCCTTTGCCAGTAGGACGTGCAACCCAGCAGAGGCGAATTAATCTTCCTATGAGGGAGAGGGGTTGGCCGCAGTGTGGGTAGTGGGTCATTTCCGGGTTTATCTGCAAGGAAAGCACTTCACACTGGTGACAGACCACCAGCCGCTTCTGTGGCTGATGCAGAATCAGACTCTGACAGGTTGCAATGCCAGATGGGCCATAAAGTTGCAAGAGTACGAATTAATAGTGAAGCACCGACCAAGCAAGACCATGCAACATGTGGATGGGCTCTCCAAGAACCCACCAAGGGCACCAGGCCCAAAGCAGGAACCTGTTGGGTGCAAATTATTTTTGCACGACATCCTGCCGTCTGTTTGTACAAGTATGTGCGTGCGAACGCAATTTTCGCAATTGTTGCTTGATGCATTTGCAGGTACCCGCGCACTGTGCGCTTCGGGACAACATTGTACGCGCTATGAACAGTGCACGCAGAAAGGACGAGCTCGCAAAGGAACCCAAGATGGAAGCTTTGCAGTTCGGTTCATATAGATGCGCAGATTCAGTTTCATCCAACTCAGAATTGTACTGTTTTGTTTTGGTTATCTAAAGTGTGCTAGGGCAGGCACTATAGGGGTACAATTAGGTGAAGGTTGGATGTTGTTTGTCTGTATCTGCATGCTACAGGGCCAGGGAAAACCAGCGGAACCAGCTTTTGTCTGGTTGCACTAGGATGAAATAGGTTCTGTTTTCAGAACCTGAACCTGGTTGGTGTTATCCCAGGTTGGAAAAACAGAAGCTGAGGTTGTTTACAACCTCCCACCTACTGTTTTGTCAAGCCAGGTTGGTTCTGTTTCTTGGAATTATTTGGCATCATCCCTGGTTGTTCCCAGGTTGATTCCGAAGGTCCCTGCTAGCTCTAGCTATTCATTCCTTCTCTGTTTGTACTCTGGATATAGTCAAATTGGTTCAAGAAAATTCCTTCATAGCTGTAATTTCGTTTCTACGCAGTTCGACGGTGGAATGCTACCGAGTAAACTCTCAAACATATATTATCTAGCCTATGTAGGATGTAGTGGGTTTGATACTAAGGGATACACAATTCTAGGGTTTCATATTTGTATCACACACTTTCCTAGTTCATCCATTCCTCATTATTTCACATGGTATCAAAGTAGGTTCCCTAGTGGGAACGTTTCCTAGGGCCCACCACTAAAAGAATTTTTTTTTTACCTGCCCGGAGCGCGCTTCGCGCCTGCCCTAGTCGCGTCCCCTGCCCTTAGCGGCCCAGTGCGCCCCCCTTAAGGCCCCTTCGCGGCCCCTCTCACGGCCCTTCGCGGCCCCTTCGCGGATCCCTCGCGACCTCTCCGCGGCCCTTCGTGGCCCCTCTCACGGCCCCTCGCGGCCTCTCGCGGCCCCTCGCGGCCCCTTCGCCGCTCTTCGCGGCCCCTCGCGGGCCCTTCACGGCCTCTCGCGGCCCCTTCTCGGCCCCGTCGCCGCCCTTCGCGGCCCCTTCCTTGTGTGCGGGGTGCCCGAGCGTGAACGCGGCAGGGGAGTGTTAACGGCAGTTAGTCTCGTCCTCGCTTGGGTGGAGCCGACTCCGTGGTCGGATACGCGGGAGGTGCAGCCGACCATCTGCAGTAAGTGACGCCGTCTTAGGCAAGCAGGTCGACGGAGTTGGTCGACCTGCACAGGGCCACTGCGAAGCCGCCGACGACGGGAAGCCAGCGGCTGACTTCAACCTGGTGGTCAACGACAGGACTCGTCGACCTGGGAGGGGGCGCAGACCTGGTGACGCAGACTTCCTGAAGCCGGCGAGTGGTCGTCGACCTGGATGGTGGTCCGATGGACTGGTTGGACTAGCTTTCCTAATGGTCCTAAGTACCGATTGGACCAACTTGGCTGTTGGTCCGATAGACCGGTTGGACCAACCGAGCTGTTGGCCCGATGGAAAGGTTAGATCAACCGGCCTGTTGGCCCGATGGACCCAGTTGGGACAGCTGGCCTGTTGGCCCGATGGACCGGATGGACCAACCGGTTGTTTGGTCCAATTGACCGGTTGGACCAACCGGGCTGTTGGCTCGATGGACTGGTTGGACCAACCGGCCTCTTGGCCCGATGGACCGATTGGATTAACTGGCCTATTGGTTCAATGGACCGGTTGGATCTACTGGTTGAACCAGCTGGCCTGTTGGTCCGATGGACCGGTTGGACCAGCATTCCTGTTGGCTCAATGGACCTATTCCACCAACCGGCCTATTGGCCCGATGGATCGGTTGCACTTGCGGGGCTGTTCGTCCGACGGACCGGTTGGACCAACCGGGCTGTTGGCCCGATGGACCGATTGGACCAGCCGGACTGTTGGCCCGATAGACCGGTCAGACCAATCGGCTTGTTGGCCCGATGGACCAATTGGACCAACCGGCATGTTGGCCTGATGGACCGGTTTGACCAACCTGCCTGTTGGCTTGTTGGTTTGGTAGGACCAACCGGCGTGTTGGCCCGATGGACCGGTTGGACCAACTGGGCTGTTGGTCCGATGGACTGATTAGACCGACCGGGCTGTTGGCCCGATGGAATTGTGGGACCAACCAGCCTGTTAGTCCGATGAACCCGGTTGGACTAGCTAGCCTAATGGCCTGATGGACCGGTTGGACCGGCCGGCCTGTTGGCCCGATGGACCGGTTGGACCAATCGGCCTTTTTGTCTGTAGACCGCTTACCACCTGGGTTGTTGGTCTGATGGACTGGTTGGACCAACCGACTTGTTGGTCCGATAGACCCGGTTGGACCAGCAGGCCTGTTGGCCCGGAGGACCTATTGAACCAGCTGGCCTG